AACGAATTCAAAAATAGAGATTTAATACTTAAGAGTTTGTTCGTTGAGGCATTTTCTTCACAACGAGTCAATATTAATGAGATGTGGAACGACAATAACATTAATTATGATTGTTTATAAAAATTGGCGGCCCTAGGTGAAAGTGCAAAAAATGTAAGTAGAGCCATAGAATAGTATAATAAGTTGAACAGTGATGTGCTGTCTTTTTTAGAAGAGGTTGTAAAGGAGTCGGAAAAGGTTATAAAGAAGTTGGAAAGTATGGAAGCTTTGTCCATCTACAGAGATGTTATTTCTGATTTTTTTTGTTGATGTTAGAGCAGGTGTGGGTGCTTGGGTTTGGATAAAGTGGAATCTGCTATCAATAAGGTCGCTCCAATTTAATTATTTGTTTAATGTACCCCTCCCCCTCTATTTTTTCAAAAATCTGGATCCTATTAAACATATAGTAATAAATATGTTTAAATATCCCCCTAAATTTGAATTACGATTTTCCAGAATTTCCCGAATTTCCCAAATTTTCCCAAAAGTTATATTATGTTTGTTTATTTATTGCAGACCCCCTCCCCCCTCAAACTCTTCATAAATTCTGGATGTTAAACAAACAATCAAATTGGAGCAGCCTAAGAAGAATTTATTTCAAAGTTACAGAATTTTTTGAAGAAATTTAATTTGACCATTGAAGACATTGAGTTGATAGTCCTTTTTTAAGAGAAAAAGCAATGCAGTGTTTCATTAAGGAGAATGACTAGAACTGGTAGAAGTGAGAGAAAAGTTTGAAACATCATTTCCAGAGAATTTAATAAGCTTCAAAGAACCTATGAGAAGGGTTCTCAATTTCTTAAATCATTATTAAGATGCACTACTCATTCCTAATAAGATTCTCCTTACATTTATGTGGAAGCTATGGATGATGATAAAAAAGAAACTAAGTTTAATAAAGTCTTACCAAGGTGCCATCAACTAAAAATAATCCTTTAGGGTAAAATTATATATAGTTGCTTAGTAATTATTGCACTAGTTCTTAATGTTTGACTGATTTGGGACTGTAAATAATTTATAATTTCAACAAAAAAACTCTTGTATATAAATTTCACAATACAAATGTAATAAATGTTAATCAACTGCATAATTTGCTAATTTCATTTATAATTACCAAATGATTAATAAATACGATATTCGTTTGTCTACTGCATAAAATACTTGAGGAAATAAGTTACAATGACTTGTATAACTATTTATTATTTTTATGAGATAAATGAAACTTCGATGGATTACGGCGCAATTCCTTGATTGATATCCCTTCAGATGCCATGAAAAAAAAAATCGATCATGTGAATTTCTCTGTCCATCACGTGATCGTCAATAAATCGCAAATTTTAGTTTATCTTTTTTCGTTCCAGACTTACAACAGTTTCCGTTTCCTAGTACGAGGTATCCATATTAATAAAACTTTAGTATATTTGGAATTAAATTAAAACATGAATATCTAATACATTGAATAAATTTAATTCAATTAAAAAAAACTTATCTAAGTTACTTTCTTTCTTGTATTATGAAAAGTTAATAAATAAAGTGAATCATTTAGCGATAAAAGTATTACATACAAAATTTGGAGCTGTTTTTTTTGCGTAAATTAAAAATTTTTCCTTCAGTTACCCATTCTCGAATTTAAAATTAAATGCATCAAACTAAATCCGTCGTCGAATATATAATATTTTTAAATATTCAAGAATTTATTTTTTTAGAATAAAATTTTTTTGAAATGTTAGTAATAGATAAGTATAATGAACAAACAATAGATTGTATTTATAAATATTTCAGCTTACCATGTGACATTGAAAAAATATATTTTGTATGGCAGTCATTAAAAAAAGACTACCAATGAAAAATCCCACGTATAATTTTACATAATTTGACAAAAAAGGTCATATTGTTTTCGGCCAAGATCTTATTGAGATGAACCAATTAGTCACGTTATTAATTAAAGTAGAAGTAGTCGTCTTTTCGCAAAATCTGTGCACATAATCATTATAATTAAAATACGTATGATAGAATAAGGACGACCTATAACGTTAATTATGACAAATAAATAAAAAAGTATTTTTAATTGGCAATAAAATATAATTTATTAATCATAAATTAGATAGTAATCGAAACAATAACTAACAAAGTAACAATAATAGAAACTATACAGTATATGCAAAATAAAAAAATCTAGATACATATTCATTTATGATGTTGAGCCATATTCTACTAATAACAAGATAATAAGAAGACCACTGCTTAAAAAATGACCTACTAATACTGCAAAGCAACCTCGTACAAAAGTCAATATTCAGAGAGCAGCACATGATTAAATAGTTAGTACCTCTTATTCCAGATCAAATTTTAATACGACTTATACATAACTATTATATATATGTATACTACAAACTGAGAAAATAGCTTAATACTATTTAATTATTACTTGATAGTCTAATAGCAGACTATTTTATTATTTGTAAAGATTAATCCTGCTGAACAATAATAACCCCGATGAATTTAAATTTTGGCATGAAATATTGGTACTACTTTACTATTTTTTTTTTAAAAAAAATCCTTCTAAAAGAATAAAAAATCAGTAACATAATAGTTAATTGAGTTTACTTATTTTTTTTGCATGTAAATTTTTACACTCACTTTCCCACACTTTACATGAAATTATTTATTATGTACATAATTAGTGTTTCGATCCGTTGCCAGGTTCAACCGGATAAACCTGGATAATTTTTTTTTTTAGGTATCCGGATAATTATGGTTTTTACCCGGATAAATATCCGGATAAAAAATGGTCAGATTGACCCGGAATCCGGATAAAAAATAAAAAAAAATTTTAAAAAAATTTAAATCATAACATTTCATATATTTCAGATGAGTTAAAATATTATATATGATTACTTTAAATATTTTTTTTTTATTGTTTTAATTATTCGTTAACCACAAGGAAAAATTTTAAGTTATGTCACAAGATTTGTCACATAATTTGAATTTAATATATTAAATTCGCGGCATTTATTATTGATTTGTTTTCAGATATAATGTGTTCTGTGGGTGGTGTTATTCCATGCTTAACAACAGATCCATCATATTTATAACTTTTTGTACATTTTCTCCATTATCTGATATAAACTGACAATATGCACGTATTTCTCCATTTTCACTTTGTTTTCTAACAAAATATTCCCATACCCAACTCACTTTTGTTTGTGGTTTAGTCATTGTAGTAGTTAGTTTAAAGGGATTTGGATTATTTGATATTTGACTTGTTAATTCAAGTATAGTTAACTTATTTTACTAGCACTTATCATCCTTTATTTTCCAAGTGTCCTAGATAATTTTTTAGGTCATCCTCTTTTTAGTATTAGAGTAATTTCTGTAACTTCATCACTGGACTCTTCATTTTCACTTAGAGTAATATAATCTTGAACGTTACTGTTTTCCATAATTTTATGAATTATTTTCCACTATTCAAAAATATGTTTCAAGTGAAATTACAAAAAAATCCAAGAAAATGATTACAGTATTTATTTATTTTGGTTAGGGCTTAGGACTACATTAACTCACTGTACTTAAATTTATAAATAAAAAAATAAATGCTATAAATAAATTTTTATATCAATCCCACGAAATTTAATTGTCATAAATTTAATAAATGCCACGAATTTAGTAGTTAATTAAATGCCATATATTTAATTAATTAAATGCCACATTAAATTAAATGAATGCCACGAATTTTATTTATTAAAAATGATCTACAGTAAAAAAAATTTAAATAATTTTATCCGGATTTCGGTTTCTACCCGGATATATCCGGATTTTTATCCGAGTCGGATAATCCGGATAGAAACCGGATATTTTTTTTAATTTATCCGGATGACGGTTTCTGCCTGGATCGAAACACTATACATAATAACCTCCAATAAAAAAATTTTTCATGTCAATTAAAAAAAAAAATTATTTTATATAAATTATAAATAATTACTTAAGCGGGAGTTCTATTAAATTTCCGATACAATCATCTAAAATTTTCCAATTTTTTCATTTTTTTGCAGTATCTCGCAACTACTTGATCGCGATATCCTGATTTTGGATCAGAAAGTGTTTCTTTCGTTCGTATATTTTCTCGAAAGAAATCTATTTTATAAAAATATTATTATATTGCAATGTATAGGTTAGATATAAATGATCATGAAAATTTCCCCTCTGCAATGGATTTATAAAAAAGAATTGTTTAATTTTATTAAATCATATTTTATATATACTTATAAATAAAGCGAATTATTCAAATTACAAACTAAAAAACTTGCAAATATTGCTACTCTAAACCTTAGTGTTTAAATAATTCTTAAATAATAACAATAAAATTTAATTTAATAGATAGTTAAGATCCATCTTACCTAAAAATTGGTATTATAAGTTAATATTAATCATAATACGCAAGAAGATATTCTAAAAACATACTTACTGTCAGAAACTTTTAATTCATCTTGTTCCTCTGAAAGAAAATTGGGATCATACATTTCATCATCATCTAATTTTAGGATTAAAATAAAATTATAAGTATCCTATTTTATTACACGTGTATAATAATTTCAGAGATTTAAAAATAATTACCTTTATCATTATTATTTAACTTTACTTTCTTAGAGTTAATAGTTAAATCATCTTGTCCTTCTACTTTTAAGTAATAGAAAATTAATTATTTTACTTACTGCTGATAAATAATTCATAAAATAACTCATTACCATTAAAATAAATTCTTTTATTAGATTCGTCTTTTACTTCTAAAATAAATAAACTATTAAATTATTTCAATTAAAAATTTCAAAATCATGTATTAATTATTACCTGTAATTATGCCATCTTGTAAATCAAAGTCAAATTGTATACTATGATAAGCTATAAAACAAACGTTATAAATACTATACTTTTCCATATATAATTCGTTTTGACGAATATCAATGATTACCTTCTTGTTCTTCTATTAGATAAAAATATAGATGACCAGTTATTATGATGTTAACCAATCTTGATAAATAAAATTTTTTTACCTTTAGTTGCATTTCTTGGTTCAGGCAAATCTTTAAAATAATAAACTCTACTACTAGAATTTCTTAAAATAGAGTTAATAGAGTTAGTAGAATTAATACTAAAATTTGTATTTAATTGAAAGTTATCTATGCTTGTAATGTTATTTGTCTGTTGTTCATCATTTTCATTATTGAGATATGATCTATATAAAGATTCTATTTCATCACAAAGAGCATCGATATCAGGTCTTTTTGTTAGGTCAGCATCCCAACATTGTTCCATTAGTTCTTTATATTTTAAAGGAGTTCCTGGTATTATTCTTGGCCTCATTCCATTTATTATTTTTAGCGCAAGGTCATAATTATGTTTATAGACAAAAGGTGGTTGTCCGGATGAGATTTCCCACATAAGCATACCAATACTATAGATATCAGACGCAAAAGAATATTTCATTTTTACAATAACTTCGGGAGCTATATAAGGAAGGTTTCCATATATACTGTTTAATGGTTTATCAGCTGGCCAACAAAATCCAAGATCACTTATACGAATGTTTGCATGATTAAATAATATATTTCCAGAATGCAAATCTCTGTGAATTGCATTTTCTTCATGAATTCTATATACACCATACACTATATCATGAATAATTTGAATTCTTCTTTTCCATGTAATTTTATTATGATTTTGATGTAAATATTCTCTCAAATTCTTATCCAATCCAAACATTACAAGCATATAATTCCCATCTGATGGATCTTTTGTTATACCAAAGCATTGAACAACATGGCTACATTTGTTACTTATATAAAAATGAGATTTACTCTACAAAAAAAATAATGGATATTACTATATAGTAATTATTTTAGTCACCTTTTCAAATAATTTTAAATTAAATACCTCTTCAAACCAACTTTTATTAGCACTTTCAACATTTTCTAACTTTTTGAGTACTACATCATGTCCATCATGTCCTTTATATCTTTTTAATTGTTTTTCTTTTGAATCCCATTCATCATAACTTCCATCAATCCAATATGCTGTATAAATTTCAGAACATCCACCTTTAGTTAAATATTCAATATTTTGTAATTTATCATATGGGATCCATTCTACTATTCTTCTTGGTTCAATTGTTTCCATTTGACATTGTTGTATTAAATTATCAATATCATTATTTCCAGATGTCCAGTTTGAAAATTTTGATTTTAAATAATTTCGAACACAATGTTCACAGTATAATGTAGCTAAACATACAACATGACAATTTTCACAAATTCTTTTTGTTCCTTCATTATAAAGAATTTTATAAAGATCAAAATCTTTATTTAATAATTTTACTGCATGTGATTTTTCATCTTTTGTAAGAGATTTGTCAGCAAGAATAGTTTGCTGTTTAAATTCAAATCGTTTATCTATAGTATCTTGAATATTATAATCTATTAATGCATATGCTCTATCAATTGCAGCAAAAACTATGTTTTCTCGAATAGAAGTCATAATGTGAGATAAACTAAATTTTTTTTGTTAATGAAATTTATGAATTAACAAACTTCGGAGTGAGTTTCACAAAATTTTGTAAACAAAGCAAATATATCGTTTTTAATTAGACAAGTTAATTGTCACGCTCATACATAATATAAATAAATATTGTACGGTACAGGTGATAAATATAGTGATGATTAATGTGGTGAGCTTGCAGGTGCTTGCAGGTGCATAAATTAAAAAACGCCAAATAAAGAATGGTGTAATGCCGTAACTTAACTAATAAATTTAATAATTGTGGGATCAGTATTATATTTAGAATTAGTGTACAGAATTATAATAGTTTAAAATAGTGTAATGTTACAAATGTAACATCCGAGAAGATGTAACTAGAGGACATATAATTTGTGTCATAATCTATTTAGATTGGGAAAGGGAACTAAGATCAAGGATAGGATATATTAAGAAAGAGGTTTGAAGATCAAAAAAGAGAAATTTTACGAAGTTTTAAATCAAAATTGAAATTTTGAAAATGAAATATGGTTCTGAGAAAAAGGTTCGTTAAGAGTAAAAAGTTGAAAAATCAAAATTGAAAAATTTGAAAATATAAAAATTCGGAATTTTCGATCTTAAAGAGAGATTCTATAAAAAGAAATAGCATTTTATATAAATATCTGGGAATTCGGACTTAGTAAAAGGGGGAATTTGAGAAACAATATTTTTATTTTTATTTTTAGATATATTTGATTAAGATAAACCAAGCATATTATTATATTTATTTATATTTTATTAATAAGTATTATTTTGTTAAGACTGCGGTGGCTACGTGATTTATCACGGGCGTAGTCAATCCGTTATTTGAATTTCTAAATCACGTGAGTCACGTGAACCAAAGAACTTATCAGTTTACGAAATAACGAAACAAACTGCAAAAAGAGAAGATTACGTAATTTGAAATTTTACATACAAGATTTGTACGTTTATTATTGCAGAATATAAGTGAACAAAACTAGTGAGAATTTCTATTATAACTTGATTTATATCAATGAGATCATTTTTAAACAAATCCTCTCAAGCTGATTTTTAGACAAATTACAGTTTAATAAAGTAGCTGGTGCTTTAAATTAAGTAATTATAACATTCGAATTAATTATATAAAATAAAATCCACTGTCGACTAATAAGAAATACATGATTTAAAGTTAAATAAGTCACACGCGTGTTTCTGTTATATTACAAAATTGTAAAATAAATACTGTAATAAAAAGATTTGCAAATTTGTTTATAGACAGAATTAATACTTATAAATTCTAAATTTTTTTATAAAAAGGTACGTCAAAAATTAATTTTTTTTTTGATTTAAAATTTTATGAAAATATGTATTTTTTTATTGCACAAAAAATTCAAAAAAAAATTAATGCGCATTTTAAAAAATAGTTGGGAATATCACCGTACACTAAATCATGTGTCTGAGCTTTTTTTTGATGTGGAGTAAATTGTAATGCCTATGCATTATCTGGTACTAACTGTATCATAGCACGTCAATGACGTAACAGTCGTAACAGTCGCAACATAATATGGCGTAACTTGAGAAACGTCACTAATCAAACGTCTGCACCTCCATTATTAATATTTAAATATATAAACATACTTGAATATTGTATGGGTTTCATTATGCATAAATAAAATGGACATAGGCTATCCAGATAAATGGCCAAGGATCACTATTAAACATAGTTTTGGTGAAAAGTGAAAACCTCAGAATAACCAAAAAATGGAAAAATAAACAAAAGGGATCGTAAAAAAAATGATATCGGGTTTGAACGTCATATCCTTTTATGTATAGCCTGCTTTATAACAATCCCCACTTAAAGATACCTCACTCTAATTTAATTGTCCTTACAACACCTACTAAAAAATGCATTTAACAAAGTACGAGGGAAATTACAAAATAAAAATGCACATAGATACGTTTCTTTGTATTTTTTTTTTATTAAAAACTACAAGTATTTTTAAGATAAATGTTTCAATTTTTCTGTATATTGCACAAAATAAACTGTTCAATAAAATTTGTCAAGTCAGTTACCGAAAATTTTCTTGGGTGGTTTTTTTTGAACTCGTTGGTTCGCAAGAACACGTAAATTATATCCAATTGCGTCCCAACAAAAAATTCTGTGGACACGTGATATATTTACTGATCATCTACTAAAATAGAAACGTAAAAAGGTAGATCTAGTCATAAAAGGCGAAATCAGAGTACAGTGTACCACTACCTAAGGAAATTTTATGAGAAGGTATGCTTTGTCAGGAGTGTTTGTATTGGCTGAAAACATAAAGTGGCCGAAAGAAACTGTTTATGAATAAAAAGAGAAGTAAAGACTAGTGGAACAAGTTGAGGACTTGAGGTAAAAAAAAATTGTTCCTAAATTTTCAAAAATTTCGTAAACGACAAAAATATGCAACAGCAAAGTAAAAGGGTCTAAAATAGCTCAAAAGATGTTAGAAAATCTTTTCAAAGTTTATTTAGTATGTTATGTACATGTACATTGTTAAAACCAAGTTTTAACGCGAAATGATATGATTCTTTTTTAACATACGCAACATTACAAGATCATCTGTCATGTGACACTAGCCTTGTAACAGATCGCTACTTGAATTTTTTCTAGATCAGTGATCGGATTGATTCTTTTGTACCTATATTACTTATTTTTTTTCGCAATATAAGCAAAATAAACTATTTTTTTAAAATTAATTAATATACTTTGTATGATTTTTTAGTTAAAATAAATATATATATGTATATTTTTAATTAAAAAGTAAAAAAACATGTTAATGTTGATTCATGAATAATTATTTTCACTTGGTCCATCTACTAAACTACGATGAGCAAATGCCAGGGAAAGATACTTCTCAATATTTTCCGGATAAATGAGAAGTAGTTGAGGCATTGCTTCGATATTAAGTTTTCCTGTACATTTCTGATTTGTAAATAAAATAAGAACTACATCATAGTCATTCTTATAATTTTTTACTGATTCCATTGTTGTATCATACCATCGTTTAATGGCTGGTGTTGAAAGTTCAGTAGTTGAATCACGTTCTGAATACTTGATTTGCGAAAATATTGCTAAATTCTTTCCAGAATCGGCAGAATCAAATGCCCAACGGTGATCAATATTTGCACATCCTTGATAACATCGGAAAACGCCTCCATTGAATGGGCGAATCACATTATCATCACATAACACTGACTTATCAAATTTTGCGATATCATCTGTCAATTGAAGAAACTTCTCTTTCTCAATAAAAACTTTGAGTTGGCGCAACTGTACTCTACGTTGAAGAAGTGTGTCAGCACCTTTTACACCACGAAATATATCAGATAGTTGCCAGTAATTATTTATTTGGTTGTTAAGTTCTTGTTTTTTCAAATCAATTTTGCGATTAATCTTGGCTATTTCACAAATTTCCTCTTGTTTTTTTTGCTCTAATTCAAGTTCATTAATTTTATATTTAATAGAATTAATTTTTGCTTCTTGAATGTAGATTAAACTATCAATGATTGCTTTTTGATAATGTCCATATAGAGATTCGAAGTTTTGCCACTGCCAAGGAGAATCGTATGTTGGGATTAAGAGAAGATTATCTTGAAACACAGGTTCTACTACATTAGATACTAGGAGCTGGTTGTTGAGTACTTTCAATAGCATAAAGGGCATAACTATTATATACCATTCACCTTTAGTGTTTGAAAGATAGATTAAACCAGATCGCTCAAGCTCGCCAATGGATAAGCCACTGGTTAGTCGAAAATCTCGCTTGATAGGCTGTCTGGTAAGCCCAAATGAGATCACAATACGCATATCACTAAATTCCTCCTTCCAGTTACCTATATTTCGGCCAGATATTTTAGTTAATAGTTGATTTCCCCAATCAAAATCTGATTTGAGAGTAGATGGGCCCAAGAGATCGTCAATGAACTTTGGAATGAAGCCAGTGTCAAACATGGCAATGCGAAAGTGTTGTTGATCTAAGACAAATTTACAAAGCTCTTTTGAAAGATTATCGAATTTTTCATCAGTGTAATCTTGGAAATCTATATTAATAAAGTGATTTTTGAGACCTCGAACCACATCGTCTTTGTTGGCTATTCCACTTGAATAATAATACTTGTCAAGAAACATTGATTTTGCTGAAGCATAATTCAAAGGCCTGAGCTCCAAGATTTCTTGTTTATGCTCCGTGGGTAAAAAATGAATGTCAATGGCAGATGTTCCTGTGCAGATTGGAATTATGAAGTATTTTCCATTATACTCTCTTTCTATATTATTACCACGCATGACACTACCAATCGCTCTTAGCATTGATTTAAAGAAATCACGAGATTTTTTCCATGATAATTGTTGGTGTTGTTGAATGTCATTAATGTAAACTTGATATTCGTCAATATGGATAATGATTGCAAGCGGACACCGGTTTTTTATAAAGTGACGTTTAAGGATCTCGCAAATCACATTGGAAAATGAGAAAAGTCCAATGTTAGTATCCATCACCAGAGTAGATAGACGACTATCTGACACCAAACCTGATGACAATGCAATACGTGCCCCTATTCGCACACTTGCATCTTCCTTGTCATCAAAACCATCAATGTATTTGCTTCCATTATTCAAATCAATGAAGTTGTAACAGGGGTTTTTCATAGCTTCCACAAAATCATCATTGTCATCGTTTCCTCCTACCAGGTTAGAGGACAGATACTTGGATTCCCAGCCCATTCGTGTTTTGCCTATTCCAATCCCTCCAGGAATTAGGAGAAAGTTATGATTTTTATGGTCCAAACTTTTGCGACCTTGGAAGTTAGAGCGAGCAACATCTAACATTAATTTTAGAGCTTGTTCACGATCGTAAAACTTGTGGGGAGGGATATTTGAAGGAAATGGTTGTAATGTTGACGAAGTAAGAAGAGAAGCCAGGGTTTTTGCTAAAAATGGAAAGTGAATTTTAAAATAAGAACATGATTGCTAGTCAACATCACAACAGTATATATTACGCACGTGCATGTCTTTCTTTTTTTCGGGTTCTGCCTTCTTCATCTGAGCCCGAGTCTTCGCGTCTTTTTTTCCCTGATCGAATAAAAAATTATAAGATGTGAGATAACGCGAATATATATATATATATATATATGTGAATTTCTTGTTCGAGAGGTAAACCATTGGGAGACACTTACCAGTGGTGGCCTGCGGTGGCGGTTGAACAATGATGTGGATCCCATCATCATAAGGGTCTTGGAAAACAGCTTCAACCTTCATAGTCGAGATCAGCTTGTCACCTCCGAGTTCTCGTAGTTTTTGTTCAACGTCAGTTTCGTCTTCTTTAGCTGTTTCCTCAAGATTTGTCCACTTATTGTTACCTTCGGCAAGACCTTTAACTTTCCATAGCGACTTCACCCCGTGAACGTTCATGTAAACAGGGTTGCTCTTCACTTCTCTAAGTATCATCATCTTGAGATGCCCGAAGGTGAGTTTTTCTTTAGAGATAGTTTCATATTCAGAGATCCAGTTTTCTTTGGATATGTTAACCGGAAAAGGTTCAGGAAGGGGATGAGTTAGAACGACACAAAATAACGACATTTCGACAATATGTCTGTAAAGACAAAAATCGAGAGTTAAAAACAAAGTAATTTTTCAGTATAACACAAATAAAAGATTTTTTTGGATACAACGAACCTAACAAGTGGCTTATATTCCTCGATTCTAGAAAGTACTCGAACATTTTGACTATACATCATGTTATTTATATTTCCCAGTAATTATTACGAACTGTGAGTCATCGTTCAAGAATTATGAAAAAAAAAAAAATTTAATCACAATGCCGATCAAAATAATTCAGGTGTCGAAATAGAAGTTGCGTGCATTATTTAATTTTAATTTTAATGGTTTTATATACACCCTATAAAAGACACAGTAACAATTATCAATTAAATCAAAGACGTCATTTTCGAAAAGCTATCTATCAAGATACTAATTCGGAGGGTCCGATCTCCTATATTGAACATTTCATACCGAATAACTCCTTCGATAACCCAATATTAACCACGAGAGGACAACACTTGGCTTTAACAGCTTGTCCAGGACATACACTTAATTCATATTACCTTCATGCAAATGCGTGATCGCTACAACAATTGCTACTGTTCAATCCCTATAAAAAAATTGGATACGTTTTTTATAAAGTTTTTATACGATTTTTTTCCTTAGAAATAACGTATCATAATATGATACGGAAAAATGCACAATTCCGTATCACTAAATATATGGTTTGGATACGGAATTTGCACGGAATTCATATGGAATTTACATGATTTGATCACTGATTTTATCACGAAATTTATACGATTTGGTCACTGAATTTACTATTTGTATTACAATTTACTATAATTATATTTACATAAATCTAATTTTACTTTATTAAATTAAAAAATAAAAAATAAACAAAATACAAATACATTATGAAAATTCCCTCCTCATTAAAACCACCTATTGCAACCAAAATTATCTATAAGTTCAGGTTCATTTGGAGTCAAACAACCAAAAAAAAACAAAAAAAGAAACATAAGAACGTCTAACTTAATTGGAAACAAAATCCCCCCTTCATATAGTAGTATCTGCAATCGTCCAAATCACCAAAGGTCAGCATTCCTAAAAAAAAGAAAGAGAACTCCAGAATGTCTGACCTACATAAATGAAAAGAATTATGGAGCATCTGATGAAAAAGAAACCAAAACAACAAAATAAATCCAAAACTGACCTACAAAAAAAGAAGACTCTGAAGCAACAAAACTGAAACAACCTACAAAAAGAAAAGAATCTGAACCCAACTTATAAAAAAAAAAGAAAATTTGAACTGACCTAAAAAAAGAAAAAAATCCTGAACAATCCTACAAAAAGGAAAGGACTCCCAAAC